GACGCCGGGCAGTGAGTACTGCGAGTGCCTCCAAGATCCGCGAACGCCGTGAATGATCGTGAATGCGGGGCGAAACGGTGGAAGGCGAAAGGTGCCGACGGCGACCGTAAAGGTGGTGACATGTGGCCCGGTGCTCGGGTGGGCTTTTGGGGTCCGCGGGCTCCCAGTCCCCGTATCAAAGGCACCTCTTCCTCGTCTTCCGCCGCCTTCACAAGCCTTCTTGAACACTGACTCTGGCGACTACGTGTAACGTCGTGTTGAGCCGGGGCAGCAAACGGGCGCACGGGGAGCACATCTAGCACGCCCCATACTTAAATGATCACATTTGTTTTAAGAGTCTGCGGAGATATGCGCCTGAGACTCTCGATAGCTATGGCTACATGGCTATGGGCCTTTGTGGCGATGCCGCGTCGCGTCAGTTTAACTGTGCTCGCTCACGAGGTGACTGCTCAGCGTTCCAGTGGCGCCCCTCTGCAGGGAAGCCAAGCTGGAGCACCAGACCACGTTCAGTGCTCGGCCCCGGAAGTCAAGAGCCCAATACAGTAGCTTGCAGCGCCTACTCCGTCTTTAGCACAGCTCGATTCGAGGCCGTGGCCGCCTGCCACGCTCCGACGTGGAGAGGACGAACGGACGCCTCGAGCTTCTCGGCTGTGTCACCTATCGAAGGTTGAAGGGACCTTGGTTTGGGCTTGGGTGGATCTGCTGGGCTCTGCTTAAACCCGTCAGCCAGCTTCTGCCCCTTTCAACTCTTTCAACTCTTTCAACCTTCCCCTTCCCGACCGTAGGTTTGAAGCTTTGCTCAGACATCGGCCACACCACCCGACACTACGTACACTTGCAGATGACACCCCTCAGCCCCGGGTCAGCCTAGAGCAAGCACCAAGATACGCCCCGCGAGACAAGCGAACTTCGGGAAGGGGCCTCCGCCTCAGCTGAGGGGCACCTCAGTTCCTCAGATCTGTATCTTAGTAATGACTTGTGGGGCGAGACCCTGGAAGCTGTTCTTGCATGTACTTATGGACTTGCATGGAGGTAGAGAAACAGTTTGCGGATCTCGAAGATGTTGTGCCTTGTGCAAACCTGACTAATCTCACGGCGCGCTCTTTGTGCGCCCGCGCGACCCTCCTTGTCTCTGTTGCCTCTCAGCATCTCTCAGCCCCTATCGTACGCCGATGCTTGAAAGGGCACAAGTTGCAGCAGTGCCAAGTACCGGCGGTTGCGAAGAGCGTCCAAGGCAGTGAGGATGAGGCGAACATGCATCGGTTGTTTGTTCATGCCGCTCATGGCCATGGTTTTGTCACAAGTAACTTTCGTGTCGAAACGGGGGGGAAGCTGACGCCCCCAGTATCTTCGCCTGTGCGCTCGGCTGTCGCTGGTCGACATGAGCCTTATGCCAACTTGTACCAGAATGAACAGGCTTCACAGGCTTCACAGGCTTCACAGGCTTCACATCGCCCGGCATGACCCGACAAGCCTGCACCCCGCACAGCATTCATGATGTGCCGCGTGCGGCTTCTGGATCATGAGCTGTGCTTGCCAATGCCCAGAGCCTATGTCTCCTACCCGTGCCAGCAAAAGGCGGCCAGCGATGTGCAAAAGACGGCATCTAGACTGTGGAGCTCAGCGCCAGAGTGCTGTTGGCGAGAGCAGGTTCGGCGTGCGTTTTTATGGCTGGAACGACTTGAACCAGCACATCAGGCCCAGGCGGGCCGTGCCTGTCACAGACACTGGCGCTAGGCTGGTGCTGTCTGGCAGCTGCGTTGCACCGAGGTCTGTGTCCGTACGGGTGCCCACGGACGAGGTGGCTCTGGTGGGTCGCGACGGAGTCACGACGGAGCGGCGCCCAAAGCGTCCAAAGCATCCCTCAACCGTCTAACTCTGTAAAGCCAAAGGTCTCAAGCCAGTCCAGGAACCTGTTGGCCACGAGCTCCGAGAGCCTCACAACGTGGCCTCTGCAAGCCCTGTCAGCCCTGCAAGCACTGCAAGCCCGGTACGCTTGCATGGAGGTGCACGAGGACTGGTGCAAACCTCCCGCTCCCCCTCAAAGCTCTGTGGCCGTCTCCGCCTGTGGCCTGTGGCCTGTGGCCTGTGGCCAGGTTCACTTTATGACTTAATGGACCCGGGCCTTTCTGGGCCGGGTCTCGAAGTCCAAGAGATGCCGGAGGCGTCGTAGGCGCAAGGTGAGCTGCTCGTCCTCACTTAGAGCGGGAGAATATATGGAGGGGCGAACGGACTTATGGCACGGGGCTTAGTGGCCCTTAGCTTAGCGGGCTTAGCGGCTTAGCGTGCAGCTCCCCCTGTGTCGAGTGCCGAGAGCACTGGGCAACGAGGAAGGGCGAAGGCAGCTCTGCCTCGCATTGTCACCAAGGAAGAGCAGAGATACGGAGAGATGCCAGGAAAGACATCGGGAGAGATGCGGAGTCTTACATGGAATGCGCCGAGACCACACGGTGACCATACCTGTCAAAACAGTTCAGCTTCTGAAGCCGATCTAAGCAAGGTTCATCGTCATGTATGCTTTGTTCGAATCATTCGCAGGCTTCCTTTCGAATTTTGGATCGGTGCATCAGTGCATTTGCAGGGAGGCGGGCGCTTCCAAAGCCAGCTGTCTCTGAAGCATCTGCGCCGCTATGGACCCAGCGCTGTCAGCGGTATCCAAAGGCTGCCGCCCTCACCTGGCGTGTTCATGGGATTCCAAGACACCACATGAAGGAAGATGAAGGATTTACAGGTATCCTTCTGGTGAAGACAGTTGTTTCTGGTGCTTGGGGCAAGATATAGGGTTTTGGTGGAGCTGCTTACATCTTCATGGCTAAGAACAGGAATGAACGTTTCCGTAAGCCGGCTGGATTGTCATTCAGTTACAGTACAAGCTTAAGTCTATGCTGGAACCAACGTTCCCGTGCGCCGACTGGCTTTTCATTGATTTGCAGTACAAGCTTTGTGCTGGAATCGACAATCCCATGAGCTGGCTGAATTTTCAGTGGTGGTACAGGCTTAGTAAGGCTTAGTACTGGTTTCGAAGTTTCCAGCCGGCTGGACTTGCATTGATTTGTAGTACAAGCCTGCTGATTTCGGGAGCTGGCTGCACTTTCATGATTTTGTGCAAGCTCAGTGCTGAAATCGACGTTTCCGGGAGGTTGGATTCTCGTTGATCTGTGGTACTTCATTTTGCAGTACAAGCTCAAGTACTGGAACCGGCGCTCCCGTGAGCCAGCTGGCTTTTCATGGATTTGCAGTACAAGCTTGGTGCTGGAAAAGACGTTTTCCAGGAGCCGCCTGAACTTTCATTGGCTTGTAGTTTAGGCTTAGCACTGGTATCGAAGCTTTTCCATGAGCCCGCTGGTTTTTCATTGATTCGTAGTACAAGCTGCTGCAAACGAACAATTCCGAGAGTCTTAAGAGCTCAGAAGCGCTCTGGCGCCAAACTCCTACTTCTGAGGCACCAAGCCACGCCTTTGAGGGCAGCGCCAAAACTAGACAGAAAACGTCGTACTACGCTACCCTCCAAGCAGCTACCAAGTCCGACACCAAATGATTCCGAGAGCGATTGTGAGGCTGTCGTTTGTCCGCTTCTTATCATTTTACGCGTAGGAAGCACCCAAACGCTTCAGGCAATGCCTTTCATGGCATGTGCGGGGACTTTTACAACCCCATACGGCCCATACGACTATCCCGAGTTCTTAGGTTGGGCAAGAGGCCTGGAACCCTTCGTTAGCCTTCGTTGTTTTTCGAGTTCTTCTTTGCCCTCGTGAGGCAGCATGCGAAAATTCGACAACGCGGGTGAGGGACCCGGTGGGCTCACGGGGGAAGATCTCTGAAGTCTCCGGGGCTTAGTTCACTTCTTTAGCCATCCTGAGTCCATGTGACACGAGAGGTTTACTAGTTTACGCGTCTTCAGCCGCGCCGCCTCGTTCGACTCTCCCAGCTCTGAGTGCCCCAGCCCAGGAAGCCGACCTCGTTTTGGGAAGTGGAAGCCAGTGGAAGCCAGTGGAAGCTCGCAAGCGAGAAACACAGGAAACAGGAAGAAGAAAGAAAGCTTCCAATCCACAGCTTTTGCAGCATTCTGAGGGGCAGCTGCATCAGCTCCTGCGTGGACATCTCCAGCTTCCTCCCAGAACGCTCTCACAAAGCACCTGGAATCCTGGAAATGTCAAGCTGGGGTTTCTGAGGGAAAACTCGAGAGCGGGGCCTCGATGTCCTGTCCGCAATGTGCTGACAATGTGGACTCCCACGAGCCGCTGAGCGCCGAAATTCGGCTTGAGCCGAGCCGGAGATTGCAAGGTTTCGTTCCCGTCTGCATAGATTCTGACAACCGCTGTGCACAACACATGGGTGTTGCGACTGTTACGGTTTCATGAGACGGGAGAGAAATCGAGAGCGAGAGAGAGAGAGAGAGAGAGAGAGAGAGACAAGGAGCGAGGACATACGGACATGCACAAACGAGGACAGGATGATAAAATGGACAGGACGAACAGAGCGACTTCTCCTTAGATGACTCCACCAACGAGGGTTTTCTTCGATTGAAACGACGGGGGGTTGTCTGCCAGATCCAAGTAAATTCACAACACGAGCAAATGCGAGCATTTGGCAAACAGGTTCGGAGTTTGGCCCCGCTTCCACTCTCACTCGGGATGCGCCCCAAATGGAAGTGAGATGGTGCCCGAGCTTTCTGGCATTGTGTGGCGTCTACCACCACCACTGAAAGGGCAAGACACATAAGAGAGACGACATGAGGTCGCACTTAGTGTCGCTTCGGTCCTTCCATGGCTGCTCAGCAGCGCGGAGTCAAAACTGCACATGGAGACTGCACGCGTCACGTACTTCCACGGGACGTCCGCCAGAGCAAAGAGCCCCCGAAGAAGGGGAATGGGGAAGTCTCTGAGAATGAGAACTACTGGCCAGCTATACCAGTTTTATACTGGCCAGCTTTAGCCAGTTATACTGGCCAGTTACGGCAGTGCGGTGTGCAGCTTTGGAGGCGCTGAGTGCAGCGCATGTCATCTCTGAAACATGACCTCGGCAATATGCCAATTCAGGGGAACAAGGGAATCCAAGGGAATCCCTCGCTCCGAGAACGCCTCCAAGCTTCGGGGCCCGCGCTGGGTTCCAGGCCGGCATCCGCGTCCTCGGACACGAATGACGGGTTTGCCGGGGGTTTGCCGGGCCCGCTCGTTCAAAGAGCTTCGAGGAGCTGCATCCCTCTCTTCGCGCTTTTCCTCTCTTCCTCTCTTCTTTCTCTCCCCATCTCTCCCCATCTCTCCCCCTTCCCTTCTCTGCTATCCACCGGCCGCAACGGCCGGTGTATGCTGTTGTGCTGCTCAGCTCGCAGAGTCTTGGCTCGGAGACTTCGCTCCGTGTTTTTTTGTCTGCTTATGGAGACAAGTTTCGGCATGCCTCGTTCAAACAGCTCCATGTTGCCTGCCAAATCTGTGTAAATAGATCTGGTTTGGGTTCTTCCCCTTGTCTTATGCATGGCAGCCTTGGACCAGCCTGCACCAGTGTTGCGTTTCGAGTTCCCGTTTTCTTGCAAGCTCAGTTACAATGACTAATGCAAGGCCACTCTGCATGTCTCACGGACGTAAGACTCGTAAGAGTAGCTTGTCTGTGTACATCACCACATTGACATAAGGCCAAGCGGCGTCCTGGTCTGAATCCCTCCCTCCACCCCCCCCAGCCCCTGCTCCCTCGTCATCTCTCTCCATTCCCTGTCTTAGATCCCTCTTCCCTCTTCTCTTAAGTCTTACCCTTTCCTCTTCCCTCAAGGCTCTTCTCTCAACTTTCTTCCCCTTCTTTCCCTTCCCCCCCCCCCCCCCCCCCCCCCCCCCCCCATCCCCCCCCATCCCCCCCCATCCCCCCCCATCCCCCCCCACAGCTTTGGCTCCCGGGCGGGTCGGTGCCCGGCCGCGCCGTGAGGACCTCCAGGCCAGTCCTGAGTTCGACACACTCCTTCGAGACTTGGAGACTTCGAGAGAGCACCTTGAAAACCAAGCGCGAGAAAGGCAGAGACGCCGCAAGAGAAACGGAACTCTCTCAGAAGAAGCGATGAGAGACAGAGAAAGAGAGGGATAAGGAGAGAAAGAGAGAAAGAGAGAGATAAGAGAAGAGTTGGGGACCGGATTGCTGGGCCTCTTCTTCCTTCAGACCCTCTAAGGCCCCGGGCTCGGTGACCAAGAAGGTGTGCTCGAACTGAGCGGACCTCTCTCTTAATTCTCTCTCTTTGTCAGTCTATATCTTCAAAAATATGTCTATGTATATCTGTGTTTTGATGTTTTGATTGTTTTTTGTCTGACCGTCTCTCTCTCTCTCTCTGAAAGAACAAAACCCCACGAAGAGAACCAGAGAAACGAGAGGAAGAGGAAGAGAAGAGCAGAGAGATAGAGGGAGAGAGAGAGAGAGAGAGAGCGGATTTGTGGAAGGGTTTACTTTTCTGGGAGGCTCGGGATGCGCCTCTTGCCGTCGCGGGTCACCGCGGTCCAGTTGTCAGGCCAGGTCCTGTCTCTCTCTTTCGTCTTCTTTTTTCGCTCTACCTCCTTCTCTCCTGTCTCCCTCTCCCGCTCTCTCTCTCTCTCTCCTTTCTCTCCCTCTCTCCGTCGCTTTGAAATGCAACACGCCCAAAAAACCTGGCCTGTCGCCGCCATTTCCACCGAGGTTGATCATGGGCTCGACGGTGAAAACCTCTCTCTCTCTCTCTCGCTTGCGCTTGTTGAGAGTCTTGTGGCGGCGGTGACTACGGCTTCCTGAACAAAAAAGGCCCCCCTCCCCGCATTTACATGCTGGTGGCAATGGGGACACCTCACAAGCTCCACCGCAGCTGCGGGCTTCCCGAGGCAAAATTCCCTGCGCCTCCCCTTTCCCCCCCCTTCTGAGGGGAATGGCGTGGCCGGGCTTCATGATGCCCACCGCCTTGTTCTTCCTCAAAGGAAAAAAAACAAAGTACTCTGCGCGCGACCTGCTGCCACCACACGCCAAGAGTCTCTCCAGCCGTGCACAAACACACAAACACACCAACACACACAAACACACACACAAACACAAAAACACACAAACAAAAACACACACACACACACACACACACAAACACACACACACACACAAAACACACACACAAAAACACACACACACACACAAAACACACACACACACACACAAAAACACACACATAC